CTGATCCGAGCCCCTGTGTTTAACAGAAACTCGGCTTTATCAGCTTTTGTCTCACTGGGCAATTTTTTCCTTTTCATCTGGCGCTGCCGGCAGGTCCATTAATCCTCCAGCAGCTGAAGCATGGTGTGATTCTTCAGGTGGAGTTTGGTCTGAGTCGTGAGGTCCTGATGGAGCCTGGAGGGATGGATCAGTCCAAAACTATCCAGACTCAGAGCTCCAAAAATCCAGAAACTGTCCCAGACATTTGTTGGGCCGTGGGCAAGATGATTTGCCTCCTGCCGCTGGTCCAGCTGCTCTAGGGAGACCAGAGATCAAGGAAAGTCTCTTTTTTTAAGGTAAATTGGCTTTGCCCATCCTAACTTTCCAAAATTACTGTGGAAGCTCAATCAGATTTCTTTAGGGATTTGTCTTCTGCAGCCTGTCTTCTAGGAGCTGGGATCTCTTGGCTGTATCCTTCTTGTAATTCGTCATCACAAGTATCATTTACCCTCCAAAGTCACGTCTTGCTTTTAATCAGTCTTTACCATTCAGGCATTCTGCAAACTGCTCCCTAGATGGCAAAGCGTTATCTTTCTTAATGAGTGGGACTTGGGGGACGCGGGAGAGCAGAGCAGCCCATTTCTCTTCATCACCACCGATAGATCAGAGCAAATCAGTTTTGCAACAACTTTAATAAATTGATTCAATTTGATGAGCCAAAAAAAAAAGAAAAAGAGAGGGAGAGATTAAAAAGTAAAGGAGGAAATAACATGGGATGCTTCCAGCAATTGTGGTGGATGGTAAATCTCTTCTTTATTACTCCTTTATTATTTCCAGCATCTGAAGTTTAAATAATTAAGCAGAATAAATGGTGGATGAATATTATTTTCAAGTTTTATTTATTGATTCTCAAAGGACAGATATGCAGAGACACCCAGTCAGAGAGGAAGCCAATCTCTCCAGTGGTGTAAATCAGAGTAGGATCATTAATGTGAATGCCATTTAAAGGAGATTTACACCAGCAGAGCATCCACCCTCCTAATTTGGGGAGGAAAATACAGAAGACTACATAGATTTTAATAATTTTTTGTTCTGTTTTCTGTGCAATTAATTTATCTTCCAATTTAAAAGCACATCAGGTTTGGGTTTGGCTTTTTTTTTTTTTTTTTTTGTGTGTGTAATTTAAATACATTTATTGACAGTGCTGCTCACTCTAAGGGTCTTTTCAGGCGTCTGAGACTGGAAAATCTCCATGTGCCTGCGGGTTTCTGCTCACAGCATCTGCAAGGCCGGGCTGGTAGGCTGGAGGGGGAGGAGGTGCTGCACCGTGCAGCTGGCGCTGGACTTCCAATAGGTGCCAGAGTCACCAAATCCCGGGGGCTGCTGGAAGCAGGACGGGGCTGGGAGCGCCGGGGGCTCTCGCCTGGGCAAGCTGTGCAGGTCAGGGGTATTTGCAATGCCCGGGCAAGGATTTCCCAGGGCCAAAAGACTTAATTCTGCTTGAGTTTGATGTGCACCTTCCTCTTGATAATACCCGCTTTAGCAGTGTCTTTATTCTTTTAAAAATACAGTGAAACCCCTCCCGCCTGGAGCCCACCCCTCTGCGCAGGCCCCAGTCTGCCGCGGTGCCGGGCTCCTGCGGCACCAGGTTGCGTTTGGGGGTGAACATCTTGTCGCGCCTTCGCTGTTCTTAATTGCAGCTTCAGTCCCAGGTCGCCGCTGATCTGTCCCACACACCCGGGGGGGTCTCGCCTTCCGCAGATCTCCGGCACTGGGATATTTTTGGCAGGAGAAAGAGGTGGCGGCTGCTACAGCAAGAGCATCAGAGACCTCAGAGAAGCAGAGGCATGCGAGCTGGTATTAACAGTGGGGCCAATTAAGGAGACCAGGAATTAAGTCAATCTGACACCTGTAAGTAAATTAACCCGAAGGAAATACGATGTTACATGAAATTTCTGCTACACGGGGAGTGACATATAGATAAAGCAGCCCTGTGAGCAGATAAATAGGTGGTTCCTTTCGCTATCCAGCCTTGCCTCTGTATTAAAACCAATTAGGACGTGTCACTGGTGCGGTTGTAGCTGATGGTGATGGGCACCGGAGCGGGAAGCACTGTCAGTTTTCTGGAGTCCTGAACTCGGCTTACTCCAGGCAAGTTTCATCATGCAAAGTTTCAGCATCATGAGAAGGAGTTTCTCATGCTTGACGGAGTCCTGAAATACAGAAGCTGGGGTTGCGAAGCTGGATGTGCGGCTCTGACTTTTATGGCTTCATTCTCCACTGCTGAGCTTGGTTTGGGGTTGGGGGGAGTTATTTTGTTCCAGCAAGATGGGGAGAGTCTCAGGCATTGGGAGCTTGGCTTGGGTCCCTTCTCATCTATTACCAGCCTGGAAATGAAAAATCTGGCTGTGATTTGTAGCGATTGCAATGGAGCAGAAAAGCTGTTGACACCTCTGATCCATCGCCGTTCATTTTTTTTTCCTGTGCTCCCTGATAGGACTGGCAATTGGTATTTGGGGAGTGCGAGCAAGGTGGTGTTCATGGCCTTTTCAGCTCCACCAGCAGCACCTGCATTGCAATGTGCCGTAAGGTTTGTTTGGGCCAACTGGAGAAAAATTAGGAAGTTTATAAGATGTTTCAGAGGAGCACCTGAAATTTGGGAGCTGTCATTGCAGGGTGCCTTTGCTACCAAATGAAGGAGGATCTGCTATTGCCCTTGGAGATGTGTGATTCTCGTTATCTCCCTGCCTGGAAAGCAGGCTGGGAAGCCAGGAGGCTGGGCTGCGTTCCTGTCTCTGCCAACGGATGTCAAATTAATCTATCTAGCATCTTTGTGAATATTTTTGCCCAGCTTTAAAATGGGGGCAGTTATCACCTGCCTTTTTTAGAGGAGGTTCGTGTGTTTAAGAGGAACTGTGCGTGGGACTGAGTTTTGCTCCTACGCTCCCAGCAGGGGTGAGATTTGGTCCTTCAAAATGTCACTTGATAAACAACAAGTAATGATAAACACTTATTGTTATTCTCCCTTTTTTCCTTCTGTGGGAGTAGATGATATTGCTAAGTGACCGAATACTCATTTGACCCTTGAAAATGCAAGAGTCATGTTTAATTCATGTCTTTTATTTATAGATTTGGACTCCTCCAGTTTCTCTCCTGCGATGCACAGCTGCTGCTCCAGAGCAGAGCGAGGATTGTCCGGCCAGAGCCTCTCTCAAGGAACAGCCTTCAGGACCATGCTGCAGCAGGAACACCACCGGGCGCCGCGTCAGCTCCCTGCACGCTGGTGAGAGCTTGTAAGAACAGAAATATGGGAAGTTTTGCAGCCAATTCACATGGATATTTTTGGTGGAGTAACCACAGCTTGCTGCCTGCCTGCCTCCCATCAAATCAAGGGTTTTCCAGTGGTATCAACATCAAGCAAGTTCCTCCAAGAGACCAACCCTGGAGGATGAGGAGGAAGGGAGCCACGTTTCCCTGTCCCTCACCCCACGGTGCCCTGCCGAAGCCGAGGGTTGAGCCTAAGGGTTGGAGCAAACAGCCCAGCAAGGAGCTGAGTGCAGTGCAGAGATGCATGAAGCCGGGAGATCATTAATCAGATTAATGAGGACATGATCTAAAAGCCACATATCGATGACAAAAATGATTGAGTGGTGCTGGACAGAAACAGCACGGGCAGAGCTGGCTCTGGCACGGCCTCTGGGATGAATGCTGGTTGTTAGCAGGGAAAGGCAGTCCTGGGATGTGAGGCCAGGGGCACCCAAGCAGAAGGCAGGGACATAATCCTTACTCCCAGCAAAGCACTGGTTAAACCACTGTAATGCAGATAGCTGTGGGCAAAGCATCACAGAAAGGAAATGGAGAAGCAGCAAAGAGAGGGAATTGCAGCCTGGAGGAAGATAAAGGGTTTAGAGAGGATGGCTGTGAAGAAAGCGATTAGACGAAATTAAACATGGACAGACTGGAGGTGGAGGCTGGGGAAGGGGAATCTGGCTGTGCTGGTGTGAGGGCACATTGCTCTCATTGCTGAACTGTGCAGGTGCTGGGAAGAAAGAATGGCATTAAACAGAGCAGGAGGCTTACGTGCGTCAAAGGCCAGCGAGGCATTCCAGCACTGGGACCAGTTCTGGGCCGAAACCAAACAGCACAAGAGCAAAGTGGTTGGAGGAGGCAGGAAGATATTGATTCCTGCCTGGTGAAGCCCTAATGAATCTGAAGGAGCTTTTGGTAGAGCTCTTCTGCCTCTGTTTTTTCAACCTGGCAATTAAACATCCAGCATGGACATGTTTCTTCCCTTGGACAGACCTCTTGCAAGGGACAGACAACCTTGAGGCGTCACTGGTTGCCTTGAACTTGGAAGCTTTTTCAGCTGGGGAAAGCCACGGGAGATGGATGTGTCGCCCCCAGTACCTTGGTGCACTGGCTTGAAGCTTGCCCTGCCCTAGGATCTCTGAAGATGCCGGAGGACCAATTCTTGTGGTGTAAATGTTGAGGGCAGGGTTGGAGTTTGGGCACAGATGAGGGTGCGCTCTCGTGTCCCAGCGGTGCTGTCAAATGCACTCACGTTGCTTTGGTGGGGGAGAGGATGAGATGAGCTCCCGGGTTCTCTCTAGATCGCTGCTGCTGCTGCTGCTCCTGGGAGGTGCACAAGGCCACAGTCCTAAAATTTGCTTCCTCGAAATCGCCACCAGCCTGTGGGAGCTGTGACAGAGGCAGTGTCGCACCAGTGCTGTCGTGTTGATCACAGGTGGCTGTGCCATGTCTCGAGAAGGATGAAGAATGACTAGGAGAGTTGGGAAGTTCACCACAGGACTTGTCTGAAAAAGATGCTGCTGGGAGGGGAATGCACCGGATCGTGGTTTGACCCCCGGTTCTCCTTTCTCACTGCCCCTTTTCTTCTTAAAAAATAGGAAATAATTAAATCTCATCAGTGGCTTTTAAAAGCCAACTGAAAATGTCCTTTATTAAATTACCACCCTATTGATCTAGCAGTCATCCGAAAGGGGATTGATTGAGGACTTAAACAGACGTGCAGCCGGGCCAGACGTTCAATTAATGTGCATAAACGGGCAGTGGAGAAGCAATTTTCAGAGTAAGTCAAGCAAAAGATCAATCCTGTTTTGCCTCCCATGCCAAAGTTGCTGCTGTATTTATTTTTATGTTATTTCATCCTTTTTTTTTTTTCCCCTGTCCCTCTTATGATAAGCATGTTGTTGAGAGGCAGCACTCAAAGCACAGCTCACTGCACTCATGGAGCCATCACTCCCTTCCTTCGGGGCTTGGAGATGACACATTTGCAGAAGGGTCAGGGAAAGCCACGTCATCTCAAGGGACTCACACCTGAGGGTGTGAGCAATGTAAATCCGAGATTCTTCATTAAACTCCTACAGAGAAGGCAGTATGCATCAGAAGACCTGTCGCCTGCTTTGATTATTCATGTGTCTGAGGAACTTTGAGTTGCCTTTCCAAATCTGGGGAAGATTTTTGGGGAAAAAACCCATCCTCTCTATTGACTGCTTCCTCCCACCTCTTCACCATATGATAATTCCAGCTGGCTGCCAGGGGCAAAGCAACTGTGATGGGTCTACAAATATTCAGCTTTGCTCTGGCCTTTCCTATGAATCCTCCAAAGAGTGCCTGTGGACACGGCAGAAGCGTGGGCCAGAAGAAAGCATTTGAAGGCAAATCACTTTTCTGTGTCTGGCTGCTCTGTGAGTAAACTGCAAGAAATACTCCGGGTGGTTTTTTTTCTCTAGACTTGGCAAGAATCCCTGATAAGAAATGCTGGTCTCCGAAGGCCGTCAGCCCAGCTCTGCTGGCTTCAGGGCTTTGCTCCTGATCTGCGCTAAGCCAGAGGTAGGTGGCATCACCCCCTGCACGTAAAGGGGATCGCCTGTGGTTTGAAGCAGTCTAAGGAGAGAGCAGAGCCAGGCTGCCGAGCCCCAGCGCGTGGGGAAGACTGAGCTAAGGCGTTTCCTGGCTCCGGGCAGAGCTGAACCACGGACCCGGTGAGCTGGAGGCGCTGAGGTTTCCCTGTACCTGATGCACCATCAGTGCAGACCCGCTGGGGAACCAACGGGACTTCACAGCAGTGACACCGGGGACCTTGATTGTACTGCTGGACACACTGGGGCAGAACTGGAGCCCAGTCCCCTGCTCTGGTTTCTACTCGTTCAGCTTTTGCTAAGCAGCAGCTGAAACTCCTACATCTCTGTCAAGCAGCAGAACAGGAATTTGCTGGGGTGAAGGACTCTTGATCTACTGCGCTCGGGGAATATGGGCTCAAAAACATCTGTGCAAGATCTTCCACTTTCCAGTCACTCTTGTTTTTGAACTCTACTCCTCCTGGTTGAGTGGATGTGGGGTCGCCAAGATCTCTACAGTGTGGACACATGGAGAAGGACGCCTTCCCCTCACCGACCCGAAGCCAAGCAGTCTCCTCCTGCCCCACCAGACTTTGCCATCCCCTCGCTCTGCTGCTCCGTGCAACAACGTGACTTTGTGCATCTCCTCCTGTGGGAAGAGGGGACCGTGTCCTGACCTGGCACCACCGGTGAGTCACCATGGCAGATAGCCTCCCCTTTCCTTAACGGCATGGCTCTGGCGCTCGCAGCTCCTTCCCCAGTGCTGGCAGGAGGGAACGTGCTCAGAGCTAAAGCCATAATTAGCAGGAGCTTGTTGCAAAGGCTGTGACCAAGGGGCTTTTCCTGTTTGTTACGTCTTGAGAAGCCTTTCATTACGTGGATGGAGAAGCGTTATTCCCCTTCCCCTTTGTACACTGCGGGATTTCTTCTGCCAGACAGGCTGTGCCAGTCAGACAGCTGTGCTGTGCGGAGGGGTGAGGGTGCCCTGGGGTTCACTCTCCTCCTCCTTCTCCCTGGGGAAACATGGTTGGAGCTGCTCGTGGCACAGGGAGGAAGGGGCAGGAGAAAAGGACAAGGGGGGCCAGGGGGGACGACCATGGGAGGTGAGCTGGAGGGATTAGTTTGGTCCATATTTGTTCAGTCCAGTGACTCAGGAGCTACAAAAGAGCTGGTGGGGGCAGCAGGAGCATAGCCCCTCTCCTGGGTCCTGGGTTGGGGTGAAGGAGGGTGAGCGGAGCAGGGGGGTCAGGGGTCCCGACCCATCTCCTCTCTCAGCCTGCAGTGCCCACAGGGAGTGGTGGAGCTGGAAGGGAGCTGGTGGCTCATTTCCCCTCTCATCTGTGTGATACAGTCATTTTTGAGGAAGATAAATTATTGAATGGGTGAAATCTTCAATTAGAATGTACTGGGGCTTTTTACAGCACCTGAATGGGAGCTGCTCCTGCGGCAGATAGAGACCTCTCATCTCCTTTTCCTTTTCTTTTTCCTTTTTTTTTTTTTTTTTCTCCCCAAGATCGTTGTTTCTTTTCTGCTCAAGAATAACTGTGCAGGAATAGATCTGCACCCCAGCAGCAGGCAGGAGCCATGCCAGCAGGGGAGAGTGGATGATGTCTTTTAAACCAAGAACTGGTCAGCAGTGAAAAAGATATTTTTGTGTTTGTTTTTAAATTTTTAATAGCCCTGCTTTTTCAATTTTTGGAGCCAATATTTTATTTTAGTGCGTTACTTTATCCCTGGTAGTACGGGCTGTAATTTAATGTGATTCTGTGTTAATAAAAGTATAATCCTTCTTTCTCTCTTACTTGTTCTTCCCTTGGTAATAATCAAAGAAGTGAAGCATGTCAGTAAAGGGCTGTGAGCATCAGAGCGTGCCTGGGTGCGATGAGGCCCCCGTCGCTGGAGCGATGGCTTGCTCCGGCCAGTGCTTGTGTTCCCTTTCCCTGTGTCTTTACAGCTGTGGTTTTTCTCCCCAAAAGGTCCCTGCAGCATTCCCACCATTCCAGGACAGAGATGCTGAGCGCTTGGCTTTGAGGTCTGCTTCTTCTCCACGTGGCTCTTGGGATTTATTCCCTTCCAACCACCTTGGGCCGCCCGAGGCATGAGATGGTGAGTGCTGGGGTGCTGATTTAGATGCTGCCCATCACCCAGCAGCTTGGCAAAGCTCCACAAGCTGAGGAAACGCCAAGCAAAGTCACTGCTGGGGGTAAACCCCTCTGCCAGGGTCTTCTTGGGGTGCTGAGGTCATCCCAGCTGCTCCTGCAGTAGCAAACAACCAAACCACTTCCCAAAGCTCACCCACAGCAGCATCACAGCCCTTACGTGACTGCAAATTTGGGGGGCAGGGGGAAAGAAGTGATTTATACGTATAGTTGGGATTTTATTTGCATTTTAAATCACACTCTGCTAAACTAATGGACCCCCTATTTATAGATGACTCCAACATAAAGTGACTGCTAATTACTACAATTAATATAGCGTTAAAGGCTTGCCAGCCAACTCCACTGCAACTTGTATCGCCTACTCATTTTCAATTAAGGTACATTGACAAGTAAAATACGCAGTTATTAAGAGCAGAGCCCTGTTGTGTAATTATATTTTTTTAAAGTCATTAATCTCTTGCAATATTCAGTTTTGCACCCGATGGCCGGAGTGGGGACAGTCTGGCAGGACCACCCATTAGGGGATGGTGGTAGCATTTAGGGAAAGTAAAAAAAGGTGAGGTGGTTTTTTTTTTTTTTTGTATTGTTCCCTCAGGCTGTGGGTGCACATCCTTGGATAACCCACAGGACCATCGTGTCTGTGGCCGGTGGGTGCCCTGCTAAGTAGACTGTCCTGGCCATGCTGCACCTCTGGTGCTCTGGCTACCTGCAAGATCTTTCTGCATTAGGGTCAGGAAGAAAAGCCCCATCTTTGCAGAACTCTCTGGTGGGTGCTATCCTACTTTAATCGAGTTTTCAAGGTTCATCTCCACATTTATGATTATTTCCCAAGGTCTTTGGAGACACCCAGGCTGAGCTGCTTATTGAATAGGGCTTTTTTCCTCCCCTGTGACCAGAGAGCCATATGGGAAGGGCTCTGGGCTGTACCTTGTGCTCTTTTTAGGGCCAGAGGGAGAGCAGAGGAGCCAGGGGGATGGAGTCCCCGCTGTGCCATCCCCACTGGGGAGCCGAGCAGTCTCCTCCTGCCCCACCAGCTCCAGCAGATCACACTTGGCCAGGGATTACGGTGAACACCGACAACAAGGCTGAATCCTCGTGTTAAGTCCATGTACGTTAACTCAAGCCCCAGCAGCACAGCTCTGAGCCCCTCCTGCCCTGGGTCCAAGCCTTCCTTGTTTGATGTTTTGTGCACTTCTTGTCTGACCGTCGGTAAAGTTGCTACCAGCTGCGGAGGGGGCAACTGCTCTGTAAAGCAAGAGGAGAATAAATAGAGGAGAGTCGGTATAAAAAGAGGCTTAACTTCAAACAAGCGAGCAAACACCCAGAGCAGCGAAGGAGCATCAGCTTCCTAATGCCTCCAGCAGCAGCTGGTGAAATCATGCGCAAAATATTGCAGCATTAGGGCACACGCGGTGACAAGGTGTAGTGCTGTGATTATAATAAAGACAGACACGGGCCTTTAACACTTTCAAGCTGATGCTTTGATTGACTGCCTGAGACTCAGTGCTGGCAAAGCGGCTGGAGTCCTCTGATTGCCGGCATCTGCCTGCTGCAGGGAGCGGGGAAGGAGGGCTGGGGAGGGGGCCGGTGCCTGCATGGGGCTCCCCCCTTTTCTGGCTGCCTGTTGGGCAAGCTGATCCTGGATTCACCGTGGGAATCTGAGAGTCTAACCCACCTCCCAGCCATCCCAAGGGTATCCAAGAGCTCAGACTGTTGACTGCTCCTCATCCCCCTGCAATAAAGTCCTTGCTTTGCAGGTCTTGCCTGGTTTACCGGTGATTTTTTGTTTTCTTGGAGCTGAAGCTGCTTCTCTAGGGTCTGTCTCCTCTCTTTGGTCCGTGGTTTGGGCTTTGTCTCTGGACGCTCTGGGGTTTGCATTTCTTCTGACTCCCTGGGTACTTTCTGAGACAGAACTATTCGCCTCGGCAGCTGCTCATCTGTGTCTAGCCAGGTATTACAGCACTCCGCTGATTCCCATAACTCCGGGGTTTAAGCACCCAGCATGGCCCTTAGCACTGAAGAGCAGTAAATCTCCAGGTCCTTGTTTGCCTCTGGCTTTATTGACAGCACGGAGGAATGGCCAGGGCCACGTGCAAGGAATGAAGATATCTGAGGAGCTCTGTGCAGAGGGATGGCTGGCAGCACACGCGGTGGTTTGGGCCTTCAGACACATTTCTGCTGCTCCCTGGGAGGGGGTGGCTTCTGCCTCGGATGGCAAATGCAGGAGGGGGAACCTCATTCAACCCTTGCTCACCGGCTGGATTTTTTTGATGTTTAGATCCTTGCAAAAGGTGAATGCGTTGGGCATTTGTAGTGACTGCACTGCAGGTCAGGCTGGATGCTCCGGGTCTCCCCTGCAAACCCCTAGTCTTGCAGTGATGTCCCACAGGAGCTGGACACATGGCTTTTGCCTCAGCTCAGCAGAAACTCCCCCAAACCTCCCAGCCCTTCCCAGCCAGCTGCCCACCTCATTCCCCGTCCCTAGCACGGTCCTGGTGTTTCTGCAGGCCGGAGCAGCCCAGCCGTGGGCTGTGGCCATGGTGGCTGTGTTCCTCCACTGTGCCCTCTCCAGGTTGCTGCAAATTGTGGATGAGCCAAGGCAAGGAGCAAGATGGGCCCAGCCTTCATCGTGCTGGGACAGGCTCCTAGAGTGTTGATTTGCCTGGAACTTTTCCTTCTGCAGTAATCCCTTAACTCCCCCCTCTCTTTCCCATACACATGAGCAAGTTTGCTCTTTCGTAGACGATCATGGAGTCCTTGCATGGGCTGTAGGAAGCCTGGCTCTTGCTGAGATGAGGGGAGCCAGACCTGAGCCAGAGGAGCAGTGCCCCCATGGGAGCGACAAGGCAGAAAGCCCATCCAGCAGACCAAGGAGGGTTCGGGCGCTCCATCCATCCCCATCCCTCCTGGTCCTGTGCCTTCTTGCTCCTTTGTAGTAGCTACGGATAAGGTTTACTCAGCTTTATGGCACTTTTGAGGAGGCTTCTAGGAAGAGATGCCTTTTGCCTGCTAAATTACCAACATCTCTCTCTCCTCTCCCCAGGGCTCAGCTCCATGGCTTGACTGACACAAAAGCGTTCCAGCATCGGAGACTGAGAGAGACAAACGAGCGATTTGCCAGGAAATTATCCCTTGGGATTCCTCCTCTCCCCAGTCAGTTTAATTGGGTGAGCTCAGGGTGGCTTTAATTGCTCTGCTCAATGCGCAGCTTCAACCCCTCCTCTCTTTTTTTGTCTCTCATCTCTCTCCTTCCTCCTCCTCCTTCCCGGCATCATTTATCTTCCTCCTCCTACAGCATCTCCCCTTCTTGTTTTTTCCCCAATATCTCTTGGAAACGGTGACAAGCTGAAAGCTGAAATGCTGTTCGAGTCCCTCACGGCTGACAGGTTCTTTAAGACTTCAGTGCTTCCCAGGGGGTGATGAACCGGCACGGAAACGCCTGGGATTCACCCGGGGGATTTGTGTCGGCTGCGGCGGCGCGCGGCCAAGCATGCTGCTGGTTGTGTGCCCTTTGGTGACGGTGGTGATGCCCGGTGGGATGGGGGTTGTCTTTTCACAGAAGCCGCCTTCCTGCCCATGTGCTTTGGGGCTGGCTTCTCCCAGACGAGCCCTGGCTTGGGCTGAGGTTGCAGCAGAGGCTGTAAGAGCCCAGTATGGGACTGGGAGCCCCTGGTCGTGGCTGGAGCCTGGAAGATGCTCCCTTACCCCTGCCTCTGCTTCCCAGTTGCTCTTAATATTTTCAAGGGGTTTGTGGTCGTCAAGTTTGTATATGGTGACTGTGGTGCACAAACTACACCCACTTAATTTGTCGTGGCTTTTGCTTGCTCTCATCCCAGAATTACCTTCAGGGCATTTTCAGGCTCAGCTTCTCAGTAGCGTCAATCAGGAGCATCCTGGGCTTGCCTGAAAGGCTCTGGGGAGGGCTGCAAGGACGGGGGAGATGGAGGGAGACGTTCCAAGCCCAGCTCCCCCTCCTTCCTCTGGGGTCTGGAGTCCTTCTACCTGTTACCAACATCTCCCACCTCTCTTCACCGCCGTCGCCAGAAGACCCCCACTCCCCCTGCCCAACCCAGCTGCAGCTCTCTGCTGCTCCTGAAAGCAAAGCTCATTTCTGGGGAGTTCGCAGTGCACCTCAGATCCCTGTCTGAATTTTATGTCGTGTTTGGAAACAAGAAGGAATAAGCAAGCCCACTTGCTGGCCAGCAAACCCCAGATTTGTGGCTCACTCATGGTCCCCAAGGACACAGCACGAGCGTCCAAGCAGCACGTGCAGCACTATGATGAATGAGGGATAATTTAAAATGGTAGCTGAAGTCCAAATTCTGTTTGTAATAAATACATAAACTAGTTAAAAATAAATTGATTAGCCAAGGATATCCTCTTAACACTCTTTAAACTCCAACATCTGTTTGTAATAAATAATTCAACCGGTAGATATTAATGAGGAGGCCAGGCACGGTGGGAGAGAATGCTGCTCAGGAACTCCGCAGAGACACAGGGCTGCCAAGAACCACGAGCCGGAGGAGCGGCTGCGGCTGCAGCCACGTCTCCGTGTGCTCTCCCAGGGGCTCCCCGTGTGCGCGGCAGCAACACGCGTGTCCAGCCGTGGCCCGCCTGCCACAGATACGCTTGCGTGGGTGGGGAAGCCGTGCGGCCAGGGTGGCACGCGTGTGCTTAGCGTGCAAGCTGCCCTGCCCGTGTGTTCGTGCCCTGTGCCGGCACAGCCGGCCCGCCCCGGGCACGGCACAACCTGGTCCTTGGGTGCAGCCACTCGCAGCCCCAGCCCGCGCGGTGCCACCTCCCTGCGGGTTTTTTATACGCACCTAGGGGTGCGTGCAGGCGTTGCGCGAGGGAACTTGTTGCGTTCGGTGTGTGCGCAGTTGGCGTGGGAGTTGCACGCGTGGGTTTTCTGGCGTATCTGTGTTGGGCTGCGGGATCCCAGGGAGGAAGCGGGCAGCCCTGGCCGCGGGAGCAGAACTGGCTGTCACGGGCTGATAATGGTTGGGTTTCTCCTTTTTTTAATCAGTGCTAACAGCTGCTGTGCCCAATGCACCAGGGGCTGCTCCTGGCACTCACGGTGAGCTGTCAGCCCAGGACTGTATCTCTGATCAGTCGGAGGAGCCAGCTGGAGTCACGCCAAGGCTGAGAGGGACTAACGCACTGGGGGGAGTGGGGGACACTGCCAGCTCTGGATGGGGGACAGGGATGAGGGCTGGACCCGCTGATACCCAGCCAGGCTGCTTGTGGTCCTCCAGCTGAGCCAGCACCGGTGGCATTGCTCTGTCTCTGGGAGGTGTAAAACCTCCAGCGTGGATACATCAGGAGAGGCTGTCCAGCTCCTGGTTTAGGTCTTGCAGTGGGGACAGCGCTGGATGGGGCCAGAGGCAGGGCAACGTTGGAGCAGCAGCCCAGGCGAGGACCCACGTGCAGGAGGGGAGGGGATGGGGGCCCTGGCACAGTCTGTCCTGCTGCAATCTCCAGGGCTGCGCTTCTATTCCCCCTCTGCAGATGGGCAGCGGGCGGGTGCCGACGGGCAGGGACGTGCTGCAGGTTGCTGGGGCAGAGCTGGCGGTGGGTGTTAAGGGTCTGAATTGCTGCGGTAACAAATAGCTCAGTCCGTTGGTTTTGCTGCTCTCCCAGGGCTGTGCTGCCATCGCAGAGCCACATCCCAGGCACCATCTCCTGGATCCCTCCCATGGGGTCAAACCCAGTCTTGGTATAAATCACTATTACTCCCCACAGTCCCTGCTCCCATGTGCTCTATGTCCTGTTGGCTTTCAGATGAATTAGCAAGAACCAAGTTTGTTTCTGTAAAAACTTAGTTCGAAACACATTGCCCTTTCCCTCTCTAGGCTGGATGTGTTGCCCCACAAAGTGAGACCATCCAAGGGCTGAGTGCTCTGCCATGGGTGGTGGGGACAGGACTTTCCCAAAATACCTCTTGGTGATGCAGTGGTGCTTGCACAGAGGTTTCCTCATTGCCCACATGGACCTACTTGTGCAAACCTGGCCATCGCTGCGCCGTGAGGCCACCCAAACCCAGCAGCAGCACCAGCTGCGACGCTTTATTGTTACTGTGAAATAGTGGCCGATGATTGCAGTGTTAATCAGGCTCTTTATGGCCCTCTGTGCAGCTACCCACATTAAATATTTTGCCTCCCATATTTTCTGCTGCTCTTTCAGCTGCTCGGCTTCAGGTGTAGGGCCAGCCAGCAGCCTCCCACGGGAGCAGGCCATCCCCATCGCTTTGGGTGACTTGTCCCCTGACTGGGGAGCAACCCCTGGGAGCAACAGCAGCCTCAGATGTGCCAGCGTGCACGTTTGCTGGGGTAAGAGGGAGAAAAGTGGCCAGGAGAAATGATTGAAGGGTCTTAATCCTGCCCGTGAAGTTCTGGGGAGGACCCAGACCTGGGAGGTGGTCAGAGGGACAGTGTGGGCAGGAGGGAGATGGACTTCTGCGCATGGTTGTCATCTCCCGTCCCCCAGCTGGGAGGCTGGTCTCTAACTCAGTTCCCAGCCTGCCGCCTCCAAGCATTGGTCCCTGCTGCTCCATCCTCTGCCAAGACAGCTCCCGAGGCTGTGACGAGGTGCTCCTCCCATTAATCACCCCCTCCCATTGGTGTCTGCCCAGGAATTAAACTCATTTGTCACTGCTGCCCTGTTCCCACTCGCCCCTCTCCCAACGTGCTCATCTTGCAGGGCTGGCTGCTTGTGGCAGCCCCGCGGCCTGTGTCCCGATGTCCCCAGGCACCGCAGGCCTTATCCCATCTCTTTCTGCTTGGAAATGTCCTAGGGCATGCACGGAGACAATTCTTCTGGCCCCCCACTTCTACGGCCCCATTACAAGTTGGGACCCCCCAGCACTGGCTGCGTTCAGAGGCAGTCCCCGAGCCTGGCGCTCGCTGATGCCACCGCACCAGGGCTGAGCGAGGCTGAGATGACCCACCTGCTCCACCAAAACCCACTGGCAGATGCCAACGAGCCTCTTATGTCCTCCCTTTCCCAGGGCTGAAGTGGCAGTTTGGCCCGAGTTGTTCTGCAGCCCGACCCTGAGTGTCTCAGCCCCCCACGCCCCACGCAAAACCTCGGCCGGGAGCATCTCTCGCAGAGTAGCAGGATCAGTCCCAGCCTCCTCCATCCCCCCGTGCTGCGCTACCCTGACACGCTCGCTCAAGCCCGCTCTGCTGGCGTGGCTCTCCGGCTTGCAGCATGTCCCCTGGGAACATTCCCCTGGCAGCCAGCGAGAGCTGCTCGTTAATTAGCCTCCCGTTACTCCCGAGCATCCCCTGCAATAACACACAGCTCCTGCCTTTTAACTACCTACAAGTAATCACTCAGTCTCCAGTAAAAAGGGAAGGAACAAGCCCCTGGTCGTGTTGTTAGCAATAATTTTCCTGGCTGTTAACCTGCTCCCGTACTCTAATTTTTCTCAGCAAAGCCCCAGATGTGGTGGAGAAGGACGGGAGCCAAGTGCAGCTCCCATCCCGCTGCTGACTTGCTGCCAGCTGCCGGTAGCCACACAATTAGCAGTCCTTATTCCTCCCTGCCCATCCCACGTGCTGGTTTTAAGGGCAAGGAGGGTGCATCCACGTGGGTCTGGGCAAGAAAGACTTCCCATTGCCAGGCACTTAGCTCAGGCTACAGGTTTTTATGAAAAAAGATGGAAAATGTGAATGGCTGCGATTGAGTTTTTTGCGTTAGTCCTAGAAATCCTGCATCGGCCTTGGAAAGGCAGTCAGGGCCCCTAAACATCTTATAGAGCAAGGAAAATACAGTCTTGCCTGAGATGTCAGCCTTGCCAGGCTATTCCCAAGGAGCTGGCTGTTTTCTTCTCTTGTTGCCTGTAAATCCCCGACACGCTTAAAGCCTCTCTCCTGATAGGGAGCCTAACGCCTGAGCCCTGAATAAACCTGCTGAAACTCCCCGGCTTAGCATGCTGAATGTAATGTTCTTAGCCAGCCTCATCGCAGCAAATCTCCATATTTCTCAGGGATAAACACTCACCTCTCCTCCCTCTGTCTTCTGCTTTGTGACTGATTTGCCACCGCGGGTGCAGTGTTGGGCTGTAATTGCTGGAGAGATGCTGAAGCCACTAAAAAAGTCTCTTTGTTTCGCCGTACCCCCTCTCTCGCAGGGGGGGTTGCGCACCCAGTGTGGTTTGCAAACAGCTCTTGCTTTAGTGGGAGAGGTTTTTGCGAAGAAAGAGCTGGGGGAAATACCCCTGAGCACCTTTCAGCTGGGCTGGTCCCGTCTGGCGATGGGGACGGGAGGGTGCTGGCGAGGCTGGCAGCGAG